CCCAACAGTAAAGTAAAAAAGTTAAAGTAAAAATTGCAAATATTTAATACAAATAAATACAAATAAAATATAAACTATTAAAAAGTTTATAAAAAATAAAATATTTAATTTTTTTTGAAAAAGTTAGAACAAAAACATTTTCAGTTTCGGCCTGACATTTTGTTTTATTTTGGTTTCATTTCAGTTTTGAAATTTTAATTTCAGTGCACCTCTACTGTATACCTTACCAGAGTACTATGGTCAAAGCTTTTTTTGGTTTTAGTTCTCTTTTGGGTCACAGGAGGATATTTAATAATGTTCTCCTGTGACCCAAAACTGCAATGCAGCCGGGAAAGATCCTGACAATATTGTTGGGATCCACCCCGCTGCCTGATTGACAGCTATGCTCTAAAGAGGCAGAGCCAGCTGTACCCACTGGTCCCCTGTCTGTCTCTCCAGTCAGCACTGTAGGAACACAGAGGGGAGGGGGAAATCCCTGCAGAGAGTGGTGACTGACAGTTACTGCTCTCTGCAGAGAGAAGATTGTGATCTGATCGATAAGTGGTATGTGATCGCTCAGTTCTCGATCTATAGAGCTGATGTGTGGCAACTTCAGTGTCACACGTCGGCTCTGCTTATGTGATTGTGACACGTCAGCTCTATCCATAAATCTCCTTCAACTACTGTTTTTTTGTCATCAGTTGTTAATTTTGGTTTTGTGTTTAGATTGTAATTGCTTTTAAGTTGGTGAATTTTGTTAAATAAAATTTGTAAAAATATTCTAAAAATATCAGTCTAATGAAAAGGCAAGAATAATGTTAAAGTCAATAAATATAGCTATTAAACACGCTCACCTGCTAGTTGGAACCTTACTAGCTACCTTACTAGTTGGAAAGCAACCATTCAGGCATCTGAGGGCCTGAAAATTGTGTCTGCACTCCCCTCACTAGATAAATCTGAATGATGGCACAGCACAGAGCAAAACAGGGGAAGGCCCATTGCTAATATATAGTGATGTTTGAGGATATTAGCACATATGGGGAGCATTTTTAAGGATGCAGTCCACTCACAATACCACTTGTATTTCCACATCCACATCAGATACCCTTGCAGGGGTTGTTCAGTACAGCATCCATGCACCACTGTTTGCAAAACAACACAAGTATAGCCTCCTGGCTTCCACTTTTAAAATTAATAATTCTGACCCACTGGTCCTCTCTGTAGTGCTGTCCCACACTTGTACTGGCGGTCCCTCGGGCTCTAGACTCACCAGTTCTCCCGGCCTCCCTAGCTGTCTTCGTGTGCCTCCAGCACACACATCACCTGACTCCTCTCTGACTTCTGGAGGAGTCCTTCTGACTCTTAAAAACCATCTGTTCCTATTTCCCAGCAGGAGCCCTGAACCTTAACCAGCAACCTTTCTTTAAGGGCTGTGCAAAGCTGTACAGTCATTGGATGTTGGTTATTGCTAAACCCTGGACCCAGGACTGAAGATTTATTCCCTCTTTAATCACTTTGAAGCCTCCCAGATCCAGGATCCCAAGCAGAATCCAGAAAATCTGTAAAGAACTGAAAAGCCAGCTTTTTCCTTGAAAAACCCTTGCTTCCTGAAACCTCATAGACCCTCTGGCCTGAGTCCTGGGTG